GAGGCGTGTCGGTGCATCATAGATAATGAACAACAGAAATCTGGACCTAAATATTAAAATGAATAATCATTAATAAAATGCAAGTGCCAAATAATAATTCTGATCGTTCAAACAAACATCAAGAAACAAGCAGGGGTCTCTTGGTAGGAAGTCTTCAAACATGAACAAATTATGAACAACACTAGTTGATTATAAGAAGCACGAGTACCTCCTACATGCAATAGCACAATACTTATTATGCAAGCAACAACGAACTTATAGATTGTAGTGGTGACACTTGCAAACAGTGATAGAAAACATGTTAATAGCTTACACAAGGACTGCAAGCAATGAGTGCAGCGATGCCCTGCAGTCAACATCAACGTCTTGCATGCAACTAATGTTACTGCATATGAGTATGCTAGGTCACCCATGGATGATGATAGTGGATATGATGTAAGTATAATAACTCTCCTACAAGTGTATCTTAGAGGACTACAACAGATGTATAAGCAGAACTTATGATACGACAACTCATATGCAAGAAGGAATCAGTAGCCCACTATGAACATGAAAATCTATAAGTGATTGTACGAGACTTGTCCTGCCACAGTAGTTCGCCTACGAGTGATGACTAATGAAATGCAATCGACACGACAAAGCCCCTTGCAAACATATATAATGCAGTATGCAGTGAGTGTGAACTCTTGTTGGCAAACATATATAGTGCAGTATGCAGTGAGTGTGAACTCTTGTTGGCAATGACGGAAGATTTTTTGTATGTGCTACAGTGATAGTCAACAACAGGCAGTGAATGCAATAATGCCCTACTTTCAGCATCCATTCAATAGTAGGCAAAAGCATTGGCCCCCTTGCAAGAAAAAAAATTAAATGACCGATGTCCAATATTTACATCAATAATACCCCTGTGAGTAGGAGATATAGATGTGCATTGAAGGACAACTTGTCGACCAATATACATAGGGAATTGGTGATAAATGTAGCTCAACTGGTGGTAGGGCTGCAAACGAACCGAGCCGAGCCGAGTATGTGAGTGTTCATGTTTGTGTTCATTTAATATCAGCTTGTTCAAGTTTGGTTCATGTTTGTTCGAGCTTTATTGTTTGTGTTCATGTTTGGTTCATTTAAATTAATGAGTGTTCATGTTCGGTTCACGTTCAGTTCATGTTCGTTCGTTTAGTGCTTATCGAGCTTGTTCGCGAACATATTTAACGAATTTTTTTTAACTATCAAACAAATACGTTCATGAACATATCTATAAACAAACACATTTATAATAAAAGCAATTGTCTATGTAACAAAGACAATGATTATTTATATTTATTAATTTTATAGTTAAATATTAATTCTTTTTATCTAGCTTATTCACGAGTTCAAAATCGACACGAATCAAGCTTTTATCGAGCTTCTTATCAAGCTTAATGTCGAGCTTGTTCACGAACTTCAAATGATGTTGTTCGCGAACATAAATGAGCCGAACACATTAGTGTTCAAGTTTGTTTATTTAAGAATCGAGTATTTAAAATATTGTTCAAGTTTGTTTGTTTAGCTAATTAAACGATCACAAACGAGCTTTAATCGAACCGAACAACGAGTAGCTCGTCGAACGTTTGGTTCGCTTGCAGCCCTAACTGGTGGCCCACTTCAACATGTAAACGGAAGTACTAAACCCGCTTGCAAATGATAAGATTCCCTGCAAACGTCCTTAAGAAGTGGTGATAGTTGATATGTTGTAGGGATGTTAAGTCCCTCGTGAACATAGATATGCATGCAACGTGATATGTGCGAGCAGGGAATGAATATCGCATCAAATACAGGAGGGCTATAGTAGGGGCAAGCTTCTATGAGACACTGTAGAAAACCTTTTCAGTTAACAACCATAATGAGAAGAACACATCCATTGTTCATTGGATCTGAAGGTTTTGTCGACCAAGTACAACTAGGTCCTCCAATTGACAACTCTAGAAATCCTGATAGTGATAGTCAGAATAAAGAAAATTTGTTGTAAGGAGCAAGCCCACCGACATGTCACCATAGGAAGGTCCTAACTATGATACTAAGCATGCGAAATTGAATGATTTTATGAGTAATTATGTAGAATAGTGATTCTGTAGAATCAATGAATGAGCAGTTGAAGAGAAAAAAATGTCTTATTCTATCATCCCTACAGAAATATTGAGTCTTCTGATGAAATGTCGTATTATTTGAATAAAGGACAAATACTTGGAGGTCAAACTTCACAACCTAATGTCCTACATGTGCACCATTAAAAGCTGCAGCTGTAGATTGGAGAATGCTGCTCTTGGTTGCCATGTCAAGGACTATGGGAGAAGCTTCCACATCTCATATGCATATCAGATGCTAGAACGTCATTGGCATGCTAAAAACTATCATGTGTTTTGTCCTGTTCATGCTTCGAGGAGACTACTTGTGGCCAATTGAAGACGAGAAGAGCCAATAGTGCATCAATCGAGCCTTTGGCCTCATCAGATTATGATACCTCATCTATCATAAAATAACCTCATGCAATTTAGATGTCCTCATCTAATCTAAACAAGGATTATGTGATTCACGCATTTGACCTCTCGAAGGACGAGAAGATGAAGCTTGTATCAGAATAATGAAGTATCTCATAGTTATTTTGAATGCAATGCTACGATCCACTTGCAAGCTAAAACAAGAAATTAGTAGTAAATTTATATACGAATCCGATCCTATCAGTAAATTGATAGAGTCGACAAGGTTCAATCAACAAAAATATAACCCATAGAAATCTCGATGATGACCGTGTTGAATGTTTATCTAAACTAGAGGGGACCTTATACTTTCCGATCCTTTCAAGCTTCCACAAAATACAAATCTTTTAAAGTGACTACAACATTATCCCAATAATGGTCTTGTTGATAAAAAATCTTAACCTGAGGGGACCATAAACATTTTAAATGCATCCCAAATACCCATAAAAATTCAAAATTTCAAAAATAATCACCCAAAATCAAGATATTTAAAACGAAATAAATCATCAAAAACTTAGAGCAAAAATATACATCAACCTTTTGCAACAGTTTGTCGAGGTGTGCAAATAAAAAATTACTTCCTCTTACAAAGAGCTAATGTATATTCGAGAATATCATTAGGATTCATTCTCAATCGGTCTCTTACAAGTAAAGACGTGGCATGTGTCCTCTAACTAGTCGTCTCGCCACCAAATAGCACCACTGGTAAACGGTTATGATCGAACCCTCTGAACTAGGTGTTTTGTCGCCAAATGACACCACTAAATTACGGTCATGATCAGAGCCCGTATGTTCCCAAGTTCTGTGAATGAACACTTTTGCTTTATAAAGAAACATTTAGATAGATGCTTTCCATTTACATGATCCTTTGCCAGTGTAAATTATCTTCACAGTATTTTCTCTGAAATAAGCTATTTTAGTAAATAGTAGGATCATGTTTTGATTTACTCTCTTTCTCTTGTTGTGCAGAAAAAATCTAGGAGATATTGAAGGGCCTGATGGTAGTGGTCTAATCAAGAAAAATGAGTTTCTAGAAACAGATGTTCTGGAAGTTATCAATCAAGATAGAATTTACAGATATGATAATAAGAAATTAAATAATGATTCAGACCCATCAACATCAACGCATGATGCTGAACTCAGACAGGAAAACGAAGTTGTTAAAGAGCCCCAAATGTGCAGTATCCCTCTTCGTCCTTCTAGCGTGCAAAATAATTCAGCAAAAAGAGGGCGGAACCTTGAAAGGTACATTTCTTAATTCTTATGAAGTTCTACTAAATGCTCGTTTAATCCCAACTGGTACAGAACAAATAGAACATACTTGAAATGTATCATTATCACATTTATGAATTTTCTTTTTTTTTACTTGGTCTCTTTGCTTATTGTGATGCTGTTTGCTTTCGTAAAAACTTGTGGGCTAATTAACTGATTGAGAATTTCTACATTATGCAGCTCAATTTGGATCTATTATCTTTATTTTACTGTCGCAATTAGTGTGAGCAAAAGGGACTGTAACAGTTGATATTTAAAAAGTACTTATTAGCTGCATAAACCTAGATGCGTGAGCCAAATGAAATAATTTCCTATATCTAACATGTTTTTATTTTATTTTTTGAGTTATTTTCTTCTATTTGCAAGATTTAGAGGCCAGCTTGTAGCTGAAAAGAAATCTCCCCTCTTACTTCTAGCTGATACTCATTGAAACACGCCTCGCACTAGCTACTTTTTGAGGATAACTTTGCAGCTACTATGTTTTTCTTTTCTATTAGGGCTGAAAGTGAAAGTCAACTTCGAGCTGAGAGATCTAGGTGTAATGCTTGGAAAGATGCAAACTTAAGTGGTCCATTGATGCTTCCAAATCGTGCTTCTGCAAATAGTTTGTCTGCTCCAACACTGTCTTCAATTAGTAAGAAACTTTTAAAATAATACCTTAATATTTCTTTCAGTATTTACTCCGTTGAGAAGTTTTTCCTTCGACTAAAAATAAATTCAAACGGAGGTTCCATAGGAATACTGTGTAACTAGTTGGTTGGAATGGAGCTTACTGAATCATGAGAGCTTTTTTTTCTCTTTAATCAATTTTGGATTATAACCTTTTTGTTCTGTCTTTGGATTTCTATAGGATGCGGGGACTCTATGGAGGACAAGTTCAACTTGAATGCGGTTCAAATAAAAGGACGGTTTTCTGTTACATCTGAGAATGTTGATGCTGTAAAGGTTAGACCTGATTTTTTGAAGTAGCTCTTATATAATGAACAACATTTGATGCATGAACCTACTACTTCAATTCTTAGGATGTTTTATTATGCATTGTCTGCAAAAATATCTCGGGTTTTCATTCTCTGTTAAGCATAACTTTCATATTTTTTCTAATTTACTAGTCTATTTCTTTTCCAATTTTATGTAAAATGTCTCTTCAGGGTTTACGGATGATAAGATCTGCTAGTGTTGGTGATTGTCTATTTAATCCAACGCAAGTGGTACGCTGTACTATCTTTAATATCCTATTACTGTACTACAACTGTGCTCCCTGCTCAATGAGCAAGGTTGTTTGTTCATTATACAATACCAACGTCAGTTATTCTATTCAAGCATGATTGAAACTTGGAAATGCATAATTATTGTTGCAACTTATCCCTATCTTACTATTAGATTTAGATCATAATATAAAAAACAATTTCATTCCAGCACCATGATTTTTTGTTGACTTGATCAAAGCTTATCCATAGTTCAATCAGAGGTGGGTTGATATAATTGGACGATCAAATCACCTTAATAATTGGAGGGACTTGAAATATAAAGCCGATTCTATGACATTATCCTAGTAAAGATTATAAAGAGGAGTATTGCAAGAAAAATTTGCTGCCTGTAAAATTATTTATCACTATCATAGATGAATTTGATATTGGACTTACATATGTAAAGTAATATTTTGATATGCATCATATTTATTGTTTCATATACATTATAACATAATGGATAGTTCTTTGAAGAATGTAAAATCATTCGAAAAGCTATACTATCGCAGACATTGTATTGGTATTTAAAACTGTAATAACGAATATATCTCAAAAACATACAGAACATTTGGGCTTTTAAAATGGTTATTTCCTAGAAGATGCACACCTATTCTACTAAGACGAATGGAATCTTAGCCATGTTTATTTGAACTGAATTTTTTCTATTCAGGAAGAACTGGAGGAGTAATATACAAATTGTTTCTTGCTGGAAGAGCTTGTACAAATTTGTATGTGTAGGAGTTTCACATTTGTATTAGCTCAAGAGATTCGAATGCACACACTTGTTGTAAAGGATGGAGAATGTTTTTTTTCTTGGAAAACAACTTGAAAGGAAAATTGGTAATGCCTAATCAAGGTGCAAAAATACACTAGTTAGAGAGATATGTACATTGGATTGACCACCTCCAAGTATTTGGAGGGACTTCAGTACAAGTTTCCATTTAGGCGGTTAGAATTTATATGGCATTGTTGAGGGCACTCTTATGCTGGTAGGTTGATTATAAGTATAGCAAAGATAAGCAACGGAAGGGTACTGTCTTCGGGTAATATTGGTACAAATGATGTCTTTTCTTCAACAATAGCTCATTGTTGGCCAATTAGATGTCCTTGTCAATAAGCGTCAAAAGTTTTTCACAAGTGGCATGCCCATTAACCATCTCCAATAAGCAGATGTCATGTTGTAGATAGTGATGATTTGTGTTTAATGAGTTGCAATGAGCTACAGCACATCATACTCAATCCAGACAAGGAATTTTATCTAGAGCTTTAGAAAATCAAGAGAGAAGTCTTTTGATTAAATTATATATATTATATATATATTTTCTCTGAAGGGCTTTTTCAATCCTTAACTTGTTTATTTTTCGTGTTTATTCATAATGGAATGCAAAGATCAAAGCCTTTCATTATTGAAATTTCATTGTTGATGGTTGTGATAGACCCCAAAATTGCCACATCAATAATAACTATGCTAAGTTGACACATGTTAGCGAGGAACATACATAACCTTGAATCAACTTTAGTTGGACCAATGAAATATTATAGGAAAATTTATTTAGGGTTAAATGGTGTTGACTTGGAGAAATAGGGGCACAAGAAGTACTTATCAAGTAGAAAGATTTGTTAGAGTATGAATCCACATGGGAGCCAAAAGAGATGATAATGAGACAATTCACATCCTTCCACCTTGACAAGGTGCATCTTTGAGGGGGAGGTATTGATATGGCGGGATAGGGGAGCAGCTGGAGCATAGGCTGATCCAGCAAGGACCAACCCAAGTACCCAACCAACCGATTAGGCGGAACTAGAGGGAAATTCGGCCCCTCCTTGTGGGGTCCAGGAAAGTTGTAATTCATCATGTAAGGAGGAGGAATCAAGTGAGAGATGTTTAAGAGGTTTTTAATCAGGAAAGTTTTAAATAGGAAGGTTCCAATTATGTTTTTATATGCTAGGAAGGATCCAATTAGGGAGGTTTTAATTAGGAAGGTTCCAATTATGTTTATCACGTGTTATGGTTTTTTGAGGGGTTTGTCTATGGTTTGGGTTTATGCTAATTCTGAGTTTTATTTCTAGGGTTTGTCTAAGGTTCCTAGTAGTGGCTAGGATTTTTGGGAGAGCTGATCTACCATTCTAATAGTAGTAGATCAATTGTATCTTATATTACTTTTAAAGGAGAAATTAGAAATCAGCCTCTATCTTTGTGTTCATATGTTTTTCTTCTATTTTATTTTCTATTTTTTACTTACAAGATGCAGAAAAATCATTCTCACAGCAACAAATTAGATTTTATTCATAGGAAAAATGAATCATTGGCTGCCATTGTAAATGAAAGAAGAAATTACATCAAGATCTGAACTACAAAAGAGTTATTACATAATACTAAACCAACTCTTGGAAGTTTGCGCAAATACAAATATGTTATTGTATGCCAAAAATAAAAAAAACATTTTCATTTAACCTAAGAAAAATAAGATACAAAGTCTCTAAAATTGAAAATTGATAGAAATATCATTGTCATATAATTCTTGCTAAAAGGTCATATATGCAATAAAAGCCGTTGAACTCTGAGGAACTGATTGGGACATCAGATCATGGAAACTATATCAGAGACTTTGCCGATGATCTACGGCCACGATCGCACCGATCTATTTTTCAGTCTTCATATGTATTTGTTTTATTTATTTGCTTTATGTATTTGTTTTAGTAGCATTTCTCGTTTTGTCCTCTAGGGTTTTGTCATATGTAAGCCCTAGGGGCATTGTCATCCTTTATTTCCCTTTCATTGTAGGAGGCTATATATAAGTCTCATAATTTTCTTTTGGAATGGATGAATTACAATCAAATTTATGCACATTGAATTCTTGTGAGAGCTTGAGAGTCTTTGGAGAGAAATCCTTTAGAGAGGGAAGCGGATCACCCACCAACCTTGGAAGAGTCCGAGTTTGTGGATAACTTCTTCTTATTTCTTCCTCTTCTTTCTCCATCCCTTCCCTTCCACCCCACGGCCCATCCCAAATCCCCACAATAGCCAGCCACCATTCCAGGGTAAAGCTCCACCGCCGGCCAAGACCCCTCCCCACTCCACCTAGCCGTCGACTATCCAAGGGGGTTCACCCCTTGTTTGGTTGATCCACTTAATTCCTCCACCTCCACCTATCCCTAACCCTAGCCCTCATACTAGTCTTCGGCCACCCTTTCCCAATTCCCTTTGCTTCCACAATTTCACACCCCTTATCATTACTTTCTTTTCCTATAAGTTCTCTTTTGTAAAGGTTTTTAATTTCAATTATTTAAATCAAATTTGAATTTTGAAACATTTCCTAAAATAGAATCCTATTTTAGGAAAGTTTCTAAAATCAAATCCAAATTAAATTTGAATTAGATTGGAATTAAATCCTATTCCTTAATTTGAGAATCTCATTTAAGTAAGTAATTAAAACCCTTGCTTATTTCCCCAATTCCCCTCCCTATGCCGCCGGCCCCCTCCTTGCCCCACTTGAATACTTTCCAAACTTCAAGCCTCTCTCTTTGGGAAGAATTCAAAGCCTCTCCCTCTCTCTTACCCGCCCCCTCCCTCTTTTCAAATCACCATTAAATCCTTTCCAAATTAAAGGATTAACTATATAAATAATTTCTTAATTTATCCCATCTTCCCTCCTCTAAAATTTGAACCTACTTTTCCTCCAAACCCTCTCCTTTGGCCGACCACCCTCTCACCCTTTCTTCCACTTGGATTCTTGAGAGAATCTTCTTCCTCTCAAAGGGAATCCTTAAGGATAACAAAGGGACGTCTTCTACAACACTTCCACACTATGAAATCAATGCATGGCCGATCTCGAACTTGACTCCGCCTTCATCTACAATGAACAAGACTTTGTCTAAATCCTCTGATCTCCTTTCTTCCACGTCAATCCGGAAGTAGACAATTTCGTCGAGGAATACGTGGAGCGTATCATATTCACCCTGTAAGAAGTCATTGAAGAACTGATTTACACCGTTCAGTGACAAATCACCGTCGTGCCTCGACAAGGGTGAACTTTCTTTCCTTTTTCAAGTTCCTTCCTAATCTTCTTCTCGTGTAGGTTCGAATCAAGCATAAGGAATCGTGCAAAGCCATCTTCCTAAACTTAGTAATCGTAGGGAATGATTTATGACTTTCTATGCATCTATTCTCATTGTTAATCTAGGGATGTTATTGAAAATCCCTTTAATTTTCTTATGTTGAAATTCTGTTTGTTTTGGTGATCCTAACTATTAGCGTGTGATTTGGCTTAAGCGGAAGCACCCCACTTTTGTTTTCTATTATCATTAAGTGGCTACTGTTTTAATTCTTATTGCTCTTACTTAAAAGCGTGCAAATTCTTATTACATTCATTTAAATCATACCTAGTCTTACATCAGGAACTCTTGAGCAAATTGTGTGGTACTTCAAGGCTTGCACTCATACAGAGCTGAACTATAATTGGGACATAAAATCCAAACAAAGAAAGATAGTCTCTGCAGAGAATTTTAGCTGCCACAATAAGTCTGCGTAAAAGAGAGAGACAATGCTTTGGAACTTGAGGATATTTACTGGCTGATCAATTCCTCTCATAATCTCCTCCCATTAAACATTAGGCTGCTTAGAGGAAAATAATAACAATAGCGTCAAGCCTTATCCTACTATGTGGGGTCCGCTATATGAATCTTCTTTTTTTTTTTCATTGTATTCGTAACATAGGTCAGATATAATACTTATTAACCAAAGTCTTTTTAGGTTTCCTTTTACCTTTATTGACATAGGTCAGATCTAATACATCTACTCTCCTAACTGAGTCATCGGAAAGCCAATATTTTATATGGCCAAACTATCTAAGACGACTCTCTCTAATCTTATCTGTCACTAGAGCTACTCCAATATTTTCATATATATATATATATATTTTATTTTTTTTTTGCATTTTGTCTCTAAGTGTAAAGTCACTCATCTACCTGAGCATTTTCATCTCTGTAATACTTAACTTATTTTTTTTGCTTCTCTTTTAATGGCCAACCTCATGTGCCTCAAAGCATTGCAGCAAACAACAAAATGTCGAGAAGGGATAGAGCCATAATGATGTGATACATGCTTGGAGTTACACAAGATTATCAAGATAATTTACTAGAAGTTTAACCTTTATAAAACTATGCGTCAATTCAAAGTAGGTTACAAGAATTCTCAGTATTCCACTTGCTTAGGCAAAGAGTTGCGTGAAGATTAACGAAGACACTCTCAATCAAATACAAAGGTGAAGTAATGTAAAAGCTTATAACACAAATCCAAAAGTTAATAATGAGGTGTTCACTTTTGAGGATCTACTCTCTTCCCTACGAATCTAGGTTGAGCGGAGAAAGATCTTCCACACTAGAAATGAAGTAACTACTAGGACGAACGAGCCGAGGAACGTCGTTGTTGTGAAGGTAGCCGGAGGTGGAGGTGGCACTTATCTTTCGGTGAGGGACCACGGCGTCCTTGGTCATTGTAGTTCAATGGTGTGGGAAAGACAATACACGATCCGGTTGACGTAGCGTTTAATGGTGATGTTGTATTCCCAATCCGGTTCGTAGAAGGGGGAGAGAAAGATGTCGATCTCCCCTTGCTCGTTGTACGCGAAGCCGTGATCAACTTCGGGATCCGCCATGCATGGTTTGTATGGAGGTGATGAACATGATAAGAAAACCCAAGAGAGGAGAGGTGGTGGACGGCTTGGAGAGGTGGAGAGGATGAGGCTAGGGTTTGAAGAGAAAACAAATTAGGATTGTAATAATGTGGTTTGATCAAAATCTGAAATTAAACTTGGATTTTGAGTCAATTGGGAGGAAAAACTCTTGAGATTTGAATTCAAATAGGTGGTAATTAATTCCTTGAAGGAGGGAGTTATAGTGGGGCCGGCGGCATAGAGAGAGAGGGGGGAGGGGTTATGGAAGAAAACTGAAATCAATTTCAGTTTTAAGTGAAATTGGAGGGAGAATTATTGGAGATCAATTTCAAATTTCAAATAATAAGTGAGGGCATTGAATGAGCATTCAATGGGAACCCCATTAAGAGGCCGGCGGCATCAAGGAGGATGGAGGAGATTTGGGGAGGAAGAAAGGGGTTTCCAAATACGTAATGATGACTAGGAAAGAATTATTAAATCCGATTTGATTTAATTTAAATTTGGATTCATCATAATAAAACTTTCCTAATTTGGATTTTCCAATTTGGAAAGAATTTGAAATTCGAAATTTGAATTTCAAATATGATGGCTAGAGAAGAGAGGGTTGCGGGTGGATGAAGGGAGGCTGGTGGCAAGGTGACCGGCCGGTGGTGGGACGGCAGCCGGTGGCTTGGGCTCCAAGGGGGTGGCGGCAAGAAGGTTGGGGTGTTTCGGGTTCTCCAAGCTAATGGGCTTTGGTTGTCTTCTCTTGAGTTGGGGGATGAAGAGATTGGTGGAGAAGAAAAAGGAAAATAAGAATCGCAAACCTCAACGCGTCCTCCTCTAGAACTCACAAAGAGATCTACAATATTATTTCCTCAAGAACTCACAAAGAGATCTAGGAGAAATATCATGAACTCACAAAGAGAACAATAAGAGAAAATTTTCATTCATCAACTAAACTCATACATAAGAAGATGGCCATATATATAGGCCTCAAAATGCCAAATAAAACAAAAGATTAGAATGTCCCTTGGGCTACAATAGCTACCAACTACCCATAAGGGCAAAAACGGAAAAACTGAAATAAATGATTAATACATAAAATACTAATACAGAAAATGCATCAAAGCTTTCCATCATGGCCATCGATCTCCTGTGTTGCCTCTGATAAACGCGTCGAAACCTCTTGTCGATGTCCCCATCACATAGAGGAAGTGAAATATAGAAAACAAAAGGTTTCGATACAGTAATTAATGTGGGTCAAATACTTTGTAGAAACAATCTACAGTACTGCACATCCATGTCGCACCCCACCTTTATATGCCTTGCCTTTAACAATCTTTTACGAAGAGTTAATAAGCAGTGCTTCCGTTTTAGGTCAATCGAGATTTTTTCCCTTGTTTTGTGGTTTGTGGACCACGAAGCAGACTACTCTTTATTCCTGGACCAACATTTCTTTTAATGTATTCTTGCATTTTAGTATTTATCCTAGGAAGGGTTTGTTTGGATGCAGGATTTAAGCAGGATCTGAGCTAAATCATACCTAACATCGAAAATCACCAAGCTAAATCTCATGATTAGTGTAATCTTCACTTCACGGAGTTTTCTCACTTTTTTCCCTTAACCCAGATTTACTAAATCTGGGAGGTGGGCAGATTGCAAGATTTAGTCTGAGTAAGTGTGCAAAAGGGTGAAAGATCTTTACCTTCGCAGCAGAGAGCTCTCATCATGATTTCGGATCCTTCACAAACAACATTGTTGAGGAGGCAAATAAGCTTCCTTCGGCGACCTTAGCTACTTTGTCGAAGGAGGTGAACGACGTCATAGCGATTTCGTTGATGGAGTTGAACAATTTCATTGTGATTTTTTTACTTCTTCTGTTGGTGTTTGGATTATTGGAAAACTGTGCTTTCTCTTTCGTGTTGCCTTTTATTTAGAAATTGCTAAAAAAATCATGCCTACTTCCATTGTCTTCCATCTTGAAATAAGTATCATAAAGTTCATCAAAATTGAACCAGCTTTATCCTCAACAATGCAAAACAGTTTTAAGGACTTAACGCCCTCAACATTTAATAATAAGCTGGATTTTCAGGATTTACTAAATCTTACATATATGCAAACAGCCCCAAGTATTTATCCCTAGATTGCTATTTTTTCACAGTAGTAGTCTTGCAGTTTGGGTTGTGTAATACTATGAAATTATAACTTTAATCACTCTTTTTCAATTTCTCAGCCTTCTAATGAGCTCCCAAAGGAAAACATAAATATTTCATTGCTTCCTTCTATTCTAATGACTCATCTCCAGAATCTTGCTCGGCAAACTTCGTCTCAGCAGGTAAACCTCTTCGGTGCCTTACCCTCAGACGAAGTCCAGCAACTACTATATTCTATTCATTGTTGATTAATTATCCATTCTCATTTCTGCCTACACCATTAGTGCAGATAATCATATTTTTTTATAGCTTTGGCAGGTTCTTCTTACGGATTTGTTGACTAGCATGCAGCAAAATGATATTCTTTCCAGTGAGTGCAAATTTTTTCCCCTTTAATTAAAAGAACTATGAAACCTTTTTATTCTTTGTTATCGGACACATTGTAGGTTTCAAAACGGAAATTCCATCACAAACATCCAAGCTTGAGATAGACGTTCTGGTCAGTCTTTCCTTCTTTCTTGCAATCTTTGCATGGACTAAAGTTTCTTTATCATTTGAAAATGAAGAAAATTTTTCTGTTGCTTCATGACATATTGAACTGCAACTTTTTTTTTTTCGTAAAATTGTTTCTGCTATCCATGAGAGTCCAAAGACAGTACCAACCTTTTTTCGGTTGAGTGCCAAAGAACAATTTTGTTGTTGGTGGATTTCAATCCCAAGATTTCAACAATAAGTTTCAAGATCTAAATTAACTAAACTAGTTGGTTCTCACAAACAACACCAATGTAACATCCCATTATATTTTTATTCATTACAAGTTAATATATGATTAAAAGAACAACATGAATGCTTATTATGAACAATGAAGCTCTTGATGTTTATTTAGGCTGCAATCTCAAACGAAAGTATGATGGCAACAATGGAGAAAGCCGAAGTATGGTAGGGCAAGACATCGTTCTTCCCATCGGGATATAAGAGTATGAAAGATGATTTGATTCAAAATAAACTTTCAGGATTATTTCTCCTATAAATTAAACAACCAATATATTTGGCCTATGTTGTATATTACAAGGCATATAAAGCCAAATTTTCTTTTTGTTATGATTTTTTTTCTAAAATAAAATTAAATGAAGGATTGGACAAACCTCACCTGTGATGGCTATTGCACGTTTAGGAGGTATGGATCATATAATAGGGAAATCAGGAGTATGAGGAGAGGAGAGAAAAGGAAAAAATCAAAGCTTTATATATATTTGGGACCAACATAGGCAATTTAATTTTTTTTATTTATTATTTCAAACATATAAAATATTAAATATAAGATAATAAAAAGTTACAATTTATAACGTATGTTCTTTATATTCGAAAATAGTTAAATAATTACTTCATTATCAATACAATCTAGTATTTTTTTTCAATATAAGTGATTAATGTATCATTCAGCCATTGATCTCTAATTCTTTTTTGCAACCAACTTTTTATAATACTCATAACAAAAAATGCTCTTTCGACTCTTGTTGTTGCAACGAGTAATTCTAATTTCAATTTCAATAGTCTAAAAAACAAGTTGATATAGAACATATTTCCTGCTTTGGATCATTTTCTCTGCAAAACTTCTTATATCTTTTAATGAAGAAAATTGTTCATCATATCGCATGTTCATAATATAAGTGTCCAATAGATTAACAAGAATCATCTGATCAAATGGAGTAAGATCATTTAGATAAAACTTTATCATTCTAATTATCATCTCTTTATTAAATGCATAAAATGTATTATTTGAATTCAAACATGAAATAGATAAAAGTAACTCAGTACTTACTTCTGTAAAATGATTTTTCAACTCTTGAAGTTGGATATCATTGGTTGTGTAGAATATTTCAATCCGAAAATGATGTCAGCCAAAAACTACATCAATTCAAAAAAATGATCTTAGTTTTTTTTTTTTTATAAGACTCATCATGTCCACGAAAAGTCAATCCTTATCTTAAACCATATATAATCAACGAAAGAATTTAGTCACGTTCAATTTGCAATTATAGCATGATCAACTTGCTTATGAAAGACAAAATCAATATGTTGACTCTATTTCGTTAGGTCTTCACAATTTTGTCGTGCATATTATGAGCACTATTATGGATTCCAAATTTGTTTGATTTTTTTCTCAATTGAAGATTCATTTTTATTAAATACCTCATAATCTTTATTACCTTTGTCTAATGCTCTGAAATGATAACAATATTGATAATATATTTTTTCTTTATATATACTGTAGTCTAACCAATTAGAGTACTTATGAAACCAACTAGAGTTAAAGCGTCTATCTTCTGTCCCAAATTTATTTTTGGGAAAATCATGATTGCAAGGCTAATATGACCCTCTTTATAAGTATGCTCTATGGACTTTATCTCGAAAATTAGGATTAAATTCACTAATAGGAATTCGCAATCCTGAATTTGATGGAAGATTTCTATATCTAAGTCCATATTTTTTAGTAAATCTACCTCTACTCGATTCATTTTTTATTTTGCTCTTCATCGTTTTTGTTTGTCTCATATGAAGGTTTTAATATGTTTGATTTTGATGACCTCTTAAAATATCTCTTCATAGATGTTTGAACCTATAATTTCAAAAAAGAGTGACAAATTTCATTTGTTGATCACCAACAATGATGATAGCATTATGGAAAAGGAAAAAAGTTCTAAATAGGATAATTACTCTAATATATATGATTATGTTGACTCATCGATATAAAGTTCTTTGTGTACATGGTTAATAAATTGTATATTGGCGTTTACTCCAAATTTAACTAGAGTTCCACCACCTGGAAAAAATGATTTATTGTACTTCTTCAAGCATAAGAAAAGTCTGATTCATTAAATCTTTGAAGTTGTTACTATTAATTAAGAAGATCTAGTTATTGAGGCGTTTATAATACAAAAATATATATTTGCATGTTTAATTGACTTATATGCCAATGTCATTTCATGTTAAACTTAATGAACAAACATCTTCAAGACAAGCAATAATCAAAATCCACATTACAATATTAGAAAACACAAATTAATCAAAAGCTAAAAAGACTGGATTAATTTTATCCCAATAAATGTTATCTTCTATAATTGAAAATCCATCCACATGATCGAAAATGGATAAGTAAATTTGCTCAAAAATCAAAAGGAAACTTAAACCTGGAGACTGCTCCACACCATAATCAACTTACACGCTAAAAGAAAGAACATAAAAGAACATAAAAGAACATATATACAAATTAGGAGATCAATAGTAGCTGAATCAGCCTTAGTTTAAGTAAAATAAAATAACCAGGAGATGACCCAGAAGAAAAAATGTATTCAAGTCATAAACTGTTACTTCATCCCCTTCCTCATACTAATTTCTAAAGCTTTAGGGGTTTCTAAATCGAATGGTGAGATGATGTATAGCACTTGCATACCTTCAAATGAAGGCTGAAGCAAAATCATCCTGCTGTTTGCTGGAGATAGCGAGGTCGACTTCCTGCTTGGCACCATGCATCTTAGCATGAGGCAAAGGGGGCAGAGCAGACCATGCGTCATGGATTGAGGCAAAGGAGGAGCACTTTGGGTCAAGGAAAAGGAGGTGGAGCAAGCAGAAGAGACGAAAGAATTAGGGAAAATCGACTTACTTAAAAAAATAGAAAAAATTTGAGCAGGAGGAGCGGTTTTTTTTTTTTTTTTGGGTATGTGCCCCCATGGCTCACCCTACCCCCTCAATCCGCCCTTTTTTCTGTACTTTAGAATGCAATTGAGACATTTTGGGCTAATCTCGTGCAACATTGCATTCATCTCCCTTTTTTTTTCATTTTTATTACAATTGATTGGATTGATTTTTGAAATAGATGTAAAGGACCTAAAGGCCAATAGTCAAATCGGGGAAACCTTTAATTGGAGGCACATAAGATTTGGGAACATGCTCTTGACTTTTAATTCTACATCTTCAACGCAACTCTGATCTTCTGTTCATCTTGCGAGTTCAATCGACTTAATGGGACTTCAATCCAAATTTGGCCCTTGTGGATTTTTGCTCATTGGGCAACTTCTTGTAACATTTTGTGCTAAGTCCATGTAGATCTAGTTTAACTTGCAGCATTTCACCAAAACAATGGAGTGTTTCACTAGTTTTAATTTAACACATTTAAATCTTACAAAATCAAATAGATAATTTTCTTAGAAGTATTTCAAGTTGTCAATATATTCTAACAATCCTTAAGATTATGCCCACTATTGAAAGTAGTATTATTGTTCTGATCCTCATGATAGTGTTAGGAAATACTTGATTTCAAGTATTCCCTAATCACTTTAGCAATTTGTTAGGAAATACTTGATTTCAAGTATTCCCTAATCACTTTAGCAACAAATCTCAAAGCGAACTGCTGTCCACAGCAGGAAATCAGCCAAAAACAGTAGAAAAAGAGAGGAAAACTGCAGGAGATGAGGATAAAACACTTGTATTTTACTAGTAGACAATGAAAATAGCAAAGATACAGTTTGTTCTTCAATTCGAGAGGAAGAACAACTCTCCAAAGTTCTCCGGCGAAGCCAAGAGCCCAAGCACACAAACCCTAGATCTCAAAAGAGAATTCAAATTCAAGATAATCCCTAATTCTCCCTTAACTCTCTAATTATACAAAATTAATCATAAAGGACAATCATAAACTTTCTAAAACAGCCTTTCACATTCAAAATTTCTCTCCTAAACTCCCCCTCTCAAGCCTACGTGGATTCACGGCTCTGCCGTTTCCGCCCAAGCCGCGTCTCGCGTAGACGCAAACCGGTCCCTGTTGGACCGGTCCAACCGGCCCATCCTGGGCCGGTCTAACATTATCGCCCTCCCAAAGAATCACCTTGTCCTCAAGGTGAAAATCTGGAAACTGCTGTTTCGCCATCTCGTATGGCTCCCACGTGGCCTCGAAGTCAGGAAGGTTCTTCCACTGGATCAACACTTCCTTAGTTTCATCTTCTTTCTGGCGAACACCCCTCAGCTCCAAAGGTTCCAGGATCCCCTCTAACTCCTCCGTAAGTGTCGGCGGTAGCTCGGGAATGGCGATGTGATCACCAATGACCCTTCTCAGCTGTGAGACGTGAAAAACCGGGTGTATAGTCGCTGATGGGGGTAATTTCAGTCGGTATGCTACTGCCCCGATCTTTTCTATCACTTCATAAGGACCAAAGTACCTTGGAGCTAGCTTTTCATTCCTCCGGTTAGCAACCGTCTTCTGTCTGTATGGGCGGAGCTTCAAGAACACCTTATCCCCTGCCTCAAAATGAATATCTTTTCTATGCCCATCTGCTTGCTTCTTCATGATTTGCTGCGCCCTCAACAAGTGCCTTTTTAACTCCTCTAGCACTCGGTCCCTCTCTCCAAATACTCCTCTACTGATGAAACAGGAGTACTACTGCTCCCAAAGTGTACCAAGTGTGGGGGATCCCGTCCGTACAACACTTTGAATGGGGTCATTTGTGAAGCCGAGTGAAATGACGTGTTGTACCAGTACTCAGCCCAGGATAACCACTTCGCCCATAGCTTTGGTGTCTCTGAAACAAAGCATCTGAGGTACGTTTCCAAGCTCCTGTTGACTACTTCCGTCTGTCCATCCGTCTGTGGGTGGTAGGCTGTACTTCTCTTGAGCACTGTTCCCTGCAATCTGAATAGCTCCTTCCAGAAATGACTGAGGAACACCTTGTCCCTATCTGATACGATCGCCTCTGGCACCCCGTGTAATCTGATCACTTCTCTGATAAAGGCTGATGCTACTGTTATTGCGGTGTAGGGATGTCGGAGGGGAATGAAATGGGCATACTTGCTCAACCTGTCCACCACTACTAAGATCACTGTGAACCCCTCTGAACGGGGCAGCCCATCTATGAAATCCATAGAGATCTCCTCCCATACTCTACCCGGCAAAGCTAAAGGCTGTAGTAATCCTCCTGGTGACATAGCTAGGTACTTACTCCTTTGACAGACCTCACATCTGGCTACCATCTCCTCTACATCTTTATGCATCCCCTTCCAGTATAGCTCCCCAGCTAGCCTCCTGTATGTCTTTTGTACGCCTGAATGGCCCCCTATTGCACTCCCATGAAACTCCTGGAGTAGGTTTGGGATGTGGATCGACGTCCGGGGCATCACAAACCTCCCCTGATACAGCAGCTTGTCTCCCTCCATGGAGTATCCCGGGTGGCTATCTGGTTCCTTCAGTAAATCCGTCCTGATCTTTCCCAAACTCTCATCTCTAGCGCTTTCTTCTCTGATGGCCTCCCAATCAAGCATCCAAGGCACGGATAGAGCAACTGTCTGCAATTCCTCCATACATCTGGATAAGGCATCAGCCGCCTTGTTCTCCACCCCTGGCCTGTTCTGAATCTCAAAATCGTACCCCAATAACTTGGACAACCACCTCTGATGCTCTTCCGTCACCATCCGCTGTTCTAAGAGAAATTTCAGGCTCCGCTGATCAGTCCTGACAACGAAGTGTCTTCCAAGTAGGTAAGGCCGCCATTTCTGAATGGCCAACACGATGGCCATCAATTCCCTCTCATATACTGATTTCATCCTTGCTCGAGCAGTCAATACCTGGCTGAAATAAGCGATGGGTCTCCGATTCTGCATAAGTACTGCACCCAATCCGTATCCCGATGCATCGGTCTCCACAATGAATGTCTGAGTAAAATCCGGCAAAGCTAGGACCGGCACTGTAGTCATTGCCTTCTTCAGGCTCTCGAATGCAGATGTGGCTGCTTCTCTCCACAGGAAACCATCCTTCTTCAATTGCTCCGTAAGTGGCCATGCTATGGTGCTATATCCCTTTACAAATCTTCTGTAATACCCTGTCAATCCCAGAAATCCTCTCAGCGCTTTCAGATTCTTTGGTAGTGGCCACTTTAGCATTGCCTCAATTTTGGAGTGATCAGCTGCCACCCCTTCCTTGGACACCACATGACCCAAGTACTCTACACTGGCTTGTGCAAAGCAGCATTTCTTTAAATTTGCCCTCAACTGGTGCTCCTGCAATACCTCTAACACTTTCTTCAAGTGTTCCCAATGTTCGACCTCTGACTTGTTGTATATCAGGATGTCGTCAAAAAATACTAACACAAACCTTCTGAGATAAGGTTTGAAGACCTTATTCATCAGGGCCTAGAAAGTATCAGGTGCATTGGTGAGGCCAAAGGGCATCACCAAGAACTCATAATGGCCTTCATGAGTTCTAAAAACTGTTTTGGGTACATCTTCCTTCCTCATTCGAATCTGGTGGTAGCCCGATTTCAAATCTATCTTGCTGAAAATCACGGTCCCACTTAATTCATCCAAGAGCTCATCGATAACTGGTATAGGAAACTTATCAGGTACAGTCTCCTTGTTGAGTGCTCTGTAATCTACACAAAAACGCCAGCTGCCGTCCTTCTTTTTCACCAACAGAACGGGACTAGAGAAAGGGCTGATGCTGGGTCTGATGATCTCTGCCTCCAGCATCTCTCTAATCAACCGTTCTATTTCATCCTTCTGGAACTGAGGGTAGCGGTAAGGAAGTACACTGATGGGTGATACTCCTTCCCTCAACACAATAGCATGCTCATGCTCCCTCTGCGGTGGTAATCCCTGAGGCGGCTGAAACACCTCTTGGAACTGTTGAATCAACGGCTGAACGGAGAGGGGTATAGCTCCTCCCTCCTCCACTCCTGCCCCCTCCAAACTATGCAATTCCACCAGGTAGCCTCCTCCCTCCTGCTGAATGGTCCGGATTAGGGCTTTGAGAGAAACCCCAGCTTTTGTCAACCCTGCATCCCCCTGAATTGTTTTCCTTCTCTCCCCTATCACCAGTTCCATCCTCAAAGTCCCCCAATTAATCTTCGTCTCCCCCAATGTACGCAGCCACTTCATCCCTAAGATGACGTCAGTACTCCCCAATTCCAAAGGAAGGAAATCTTCCTTCAC